GTAGGGAAATTCTTTTACATCATGAAATGGAGATGTCCAGAATGCATTTGGACTGGAGAGATATGAGCCACTATTTAAATTTTCTCTGAAAGCCTTTTTCTGGATCCTCTGCATTCTTACTAATATTTCTTCTCCTTTGGCAGAGGCCCCAATCTCATTCAAGAAGAAACTGGAGCCCAAAACAGTTGAAGAGAAGGACACAGTGACCTTGGAGGTAGAGCTGACCAAACCTGCAGAGGTGAAGTGGATGAGGAACAACATCGTATTAAAGCCCAGTGAAAAAATAGAGATAAAAGCTGATGGAACAAAACATATCTTGGTAGTTAAGGACATCTCCTTTGCAGACCGGGGGTTCTACTGTTGTGAGAGTCCCGATGACAAGACCCAAGCCAAGATCAATGTGGAAAGTAAGTTGAATGATCTCCAGTTCTATAAATACCCTGGACAGGGTTTGGAGGTGGATGCTGGTCTCTTCCATTATCTTAATGGCCACTGCCCAACCCACCTGCCATGGGGACAAAGGGACACAGCTATGGGCTTGGCCACAAGTCATATGACTGAGAGGAGGTGAAAACAAGAGCAGTGAACAGAATGGCTGTCTGGTTCCTACTGCCTCCGTCTCATCCCATCAGCTCTCAATCATGCTGTTGACCATTAAGCTTTTTAACGTATTCTTCTCTTTCCTTTGAATTTTTTCACACTATTCTTTCCTTTGTGTGGCTTTTAGCAAACCATTCACTCTTCAGCCATCCATTGCCCTAATTCTGCTAAACCACTTCTTTCAGAATGTCTCTTTGTGTTCAGTCAGGGTTAAAAAGGCTACAAGAGCAAATCTATTTGAGGGTGCTGCCCTTTCAAGTAAGCTAAAGGTGTCCCAGCTGTAACCCTCTACTTCTGTCCTTTCTCAACATCCTTTTGTCATGATTGTTACAGGATAGATGAAGATAGGATTAAAGCATGGGAGGACTATCTAATTTTGCGTGTAAAGCCCCTGCCACCAATTGGCACTCTGTAGGTCATACATAATAGGTAAGGAGGACTTGATAACAAATTTCAAGTACATGAAAGGTTGTTATAAAGTGGAAGGGAACAATCTGTTCTACATGTAGAAATGATGATGGGAAATAATGGACTTCAATCACAGGAAAGATCCAGGTAATACAGTAAAAGAGGTTTTAATAATTGGATGATTTAGTAGGTTGTCTGGAGAGGTCTTGGAGTCTTCGTCATGGGTTTAAGAAAATGTTAGTGATATATCTGTCTGCAATGATGTAAAGAGATGAGTGTGTCCTAGCATGGGACAGAAGGCATAGATGATTTTTCTAGGTCTTTCCAGAGTGATAATCTTGTGGTCTTCTGATGAAGAGAAGAAATCAGAATTTAATGACAGACTGCCTCATACAGAGCAGGCTTTGTCAAATCACATTTATGCACTGCTAAGACAGTTTAATCTTCAGAATCTTCCTGGCTGACAGCTGCAAAAAACCACTGCTTTAGCATCCATACAGCCATCCATAACATATAGGGCAATTATCACTTCTGTTAGTGGTTATTCATCTTTATTTCCAAACTGAATGACTCTATTATAAACCAGACAATAGAATGACTAGTAGCTGGTAGGTTAGTCTTGGATTCATGAAACCTCAATCTAGCTCATTACTTTCAGCTCCTTTTGTAGCTAACAGAAAGAAGAAACCTCCAGAGAGTGTTTGAAGATAATGCATTGAATTATCTTCTGGAGTGTCTAAGTATTCAAGGAACCGCGGGTGACTATGATTCTGATTTACAGCTAGATTTAGGTTTACTAAGTCTGTCAAATCAGGTGAACAGGGTCAGCAGAAGATAAAGAAAGATATCTTTTCACAGTCACAATGTGTTGAAGAATGCAGTGCAGTCTGCTGCTCCATCCTCTTTCAGATGTTGCACCCCAAGGCATTTTGTTTCAAACTCTGGCTGATATTAATTTTCCTTCCAGAAAGATGCAGCAGTTAGTTATAGATCCAGTTATACCTGGTTTTAGGCACTCACTGCTGCTGCAGCCAAGTGGTAAAACCAAAAATGATGGAACAGTGTTTATATAGGAAGTAACTGGGTACTCCTGATAACTGCCAATGGTGTTTTGTGTGAGTTATGCAAGCATAAATGTGTATCTGTTTTTGGTTTATAAACTTCCTATTCTGATGGAGAGAGAGGATTTTGCTGTGAGCTTCCTAGATACCCAGGTGCATTCTCATCACTTGCGTTTAGTGTCACTGTAAGAAGTAGCTCCTCTGTTGATGAACTGAGATGGTTTCATACAGTGATGGAAACTCGTGGACCATGACCAAAAAGGGGAACTGGCTTGCTGTAGCAGGGAATTCTTTTTGCATATGATGAACCTTAGTTATGAGATGCATCAGGGAAGTGGCCATATACAAGAATCTCACTAAACTTTCTGTATTCTGCACTCAAGTGCTCCAACTGAGGTGACACCGAACTTTTACTCTGTTTTACAGCAAAAGCAAGACTCTAAAAGTAGAAGTCTAAAATTATGCTCCACTTTTTGGTATTTAAGCAAATAGCTTCTTTTCAGTAGAATGTGTAAGAGCTTACACTGAGGTCAGCAGAAGTTCTTTAAACGCTCACGGTCTGGGGAACTGAGCTACTACTATTTGATGCTCAGCTTTAGGTTAAGAAACCTGGTTTCAGAGGACCTTTTTTAAAAAAAGAAAACCACCAAGCTGGACTGATACTGTTTGGTTTGGAATTGCTTTTGGAGCAAGGTAAATAATGAATAGCTGTGTGAAAATCTGTTGATTTACTCCAGTATAAATGTTGCTTCATCAAAAGATAAGCATCTGTTATATTCTTAAGATGCCAGGAGATCCTAAAAACAACTGAGCTGCTCAAACCAACAACATATCTGGCAGAGTATTTGTTTTCCCTTGTGACCAAGAGGAGATGTTTGTGGAAGACTTAAATAAGTCAGTCATGAGTAAAGTGATCCTTCCTCTGATTCACCTCTAAGTGTTCGGCAGGGAACAACATAATTAGGTCAATTAATTATAGCAGAAATTATACTGGGAACATGAGTATGAAATTACAAATCTCTTGACATAAAATATTGTCTATTAAAATAAATCCTGTAAAAGTTTTGCCATCTACTGTTGCTGCTTCATGACAAGAATTTTGGAGAAAGTAGTTTGTTTTTTTTTTTCCATGCTATGTACAGGCTACGTACACTGTGTTCAGTTTAGAGGATAAGATCCCCTGAAGGGATAGCGACTGGCCACAAAATCTGATCAGAAATCAGGGACTGGTTCAGCTTCTAATGAGAAAAGCCAGGAGAGCTGGTGTTTTAATTTGGGAAGCAAAGAATAAGCTGCTGGAAGTGTCTGTACTTCCACCATTTGTCTGGTTAAGACATGTCCTTGGTGCAAATTTGAGCTTAAGTGGCTGTGACCTTGGAGAAGACTATGAGAGAGAAATTGGTGTGAGGAACTGAGAGAGGAATTAGACAGGTCCCTGAAAAGGATGTATGTGCTCCTCCCTAAATGTGCTATGAGGTGTAGCAAGCAACAGGGGGGGACACAAAAAGTGTAAGGAGATGGCATTGCATGGAGTCTGCTGCCGCCTTCCTGGGAAGAGCAATAATGTGCTTCTAGAGTTTGTTGATAAAGCCATAGTGTATTCGCATCGCCTCTGTGGGACCTTTGGAGAAATAGCTTGTTCCCTGTTGTCCTCATGTCGTGTAAGGACAGGTGCCATCAGGAGATGTTTGAGCCACAGAGAGGCTGTGGTGTCGTCACGCAGGACCACAAGCACAGAACAGAGCCCACAGCCCACTCCTAGTTATGTTTGCATTCAGATCCTGGCTGAATGGGGATTCTTTCTGTTAAACATGCACTAGGAAGGTCAAAATATTCCTAGGAGACCCACAGGATAATTAATGTGAATTCATGACTTTGTATAGGTGGGTTTTTGGTTTTTTTTGTTTTGTTTGGGGTGTGGGGTTTTTTTTTTTATTTTTTTTGGGGGGCGGGGGGTTGGTTTTTGATTTTTTTTGTTTGATTTTTTTTTAATCGTTGACTGAATTTCTTTTAAGAGTGAGACGAGTTTAAAAAATAAACACATTTTACTGGTTGATGGGATATTGATGTCTTGTAATAGGAACAAAACAGATGCTGTGAGGGTTTACCACATTTAACATCATGTCATGGGTTAGTTGTTCAGGTTTTTTTTCCTTTTACTAAAAGCTTTTTCATCTTCGTACTGTTTCCCTCCCTTCATTGTTTTATCTTAGTTGAAGAACTGCACAATATTGTTTATTCCTTGATGCCCTGTTATATGATTCAAGCGATCATCTTTCTCTTGAATCATACCTAAAGTATTTTCAGCAACATTGTACGGCACAGGGATATTTAAGTGTTATCTTCTTCTAGAGTGTTTCTTCCTGATGGTTATTGGTGACCACCTCACCCAGCACAGGAATGTCTCTAGTCCTCTTTGTGTGTGTGTACAACTTCAGAGCTTATTTCTGGTCTAGACAGTGAGAGTGATGGAGTTTGATAGAAAAAGGGACAGTTTGACCTTTCTCTGCAATGTCTGCTTGACTTGTTTGTCCCAGCTGAAAACAACCATTTTAAGAATAGCACCCATGTGAGCAGTATAGCCACAGAGAAGTTTTATTTCCTGCAAAGGTGGTTGTTTAATTAGCAGATACCAATTAATTGACACATACCTGCATAAGAAATAGGAAAAGAACCTGTTTTGGAAGTCCTAAGGCTATTTCACAGCTATCGGTTTGAGATCTCCAACCTGCCTGTATTTGTTTTCCAGTGAGGCAGATCAAGCTGGTGAAAGGTCTTCAGCACTTGGAAGTCTCTGAGAAAGGGACTGTCACCTTTGAGGTGGAAGTGTCACATGAGGATGTAGAAGGGACCTGGCAGAAGGATGGTGTTCGGCTGAACCCTGCACCGAATATCAATATTGGTGTCCTGGGGAAGAAACATTCACTGACTCTTTCTTCGGTGACCCTTGAAGATGCAGGACTCATCTCCTTCAAAGCAGAAGGCATTTTTTCATCAGGGAGGCTCACTGTGTCAGGTACACAGACCTGAAAATCTCAGGCCCTGGTTTGGGGTGGGACATGGCTGTCTTCTGACCTAGAGAGCGACCTTCTAAGAGGGCAACAAGTTTTCCTTGTAACTGTAAGGGATGTTAAGCAGTAGACTATCATCAGTAAGGTATCCTTCTAATGTCAACAGGATTATTGTAACATCATTGTCCTCAAAACAACTTATGATAACACACTCCAAACGATGTGATTTTGTTCTCATAAGTTTTATTAAACATGGAAGCTAGGCTCTGCCTATCCACCATTGCTTGTGCCAGATGGTCCTGGAGACCTAATTTCCCTCTAACTGGACTTCCTCTTTTTCTGCAGAATTGCCTGCGAGAATCAACAAACCTTTGGTAGACATCAGTGTAACTCATAAGGACAAGGTCACATTTGAGTGTGAGCTGTCCAAGCCCAGTGGAGATGTTAAGTGGTTCAAGGTACAGCACTTAATGGATAGTGGTATTTTAATTTCTAGTTTGTCTGGAAGGGAATGGGAGTCTTTAATTTCACTTCCAGGGGATGTGAGTCTGCATTTTTGCTATACAGCTCTTAGCACTGCTCTCTTGTTCTTACATTCATTTACTTGCCCAGTCCATCACTGTTATTTATTTACTGGGTGTGTTTATTTGGTTGAAAGTTAATATTTTCTATTCTTACAGTCTTGAGCTTCATGCCTAGCAATTCTCCCTCAGGATTTATAGCCTCATTGGGAACCATGGTTTAAGGTGAAGCCTCAATTCACTTTACACCTGACAGTCATTTTGGGGATCACCTGGGGCATTTCATGTACCTTCCTTAAGGCTCAGCTGATACTTCCCTTAAATACGGATAACAGAATTTCTTCAATGTAATGTCTGAAGGGGCTTATAGCCAACCTTGTACAGTGCCTTGAGGCTTCAGATAGGTGTCTAAGGTCAACCAAAAGTTATGCATGTTCTTCAGTCATTCCTACTTTGTGAAAACTTTACACCATACTTAAGTTTCAACATATGTTCCAGTAAGCACAATTCCAATGAAACAGGTGAATTAAGCACAGATCTGAATGTTTGTTTTGCACAATGAAGACATAGAAGAGTTGATGGTGATCTGGTTTGGCTTTTTCTCTCCTAGGATGGGAAGGAGCTCCGGCAAAGTAAAAAAGTGGGGATTACTTCCCAGGGAACTAAGAGAAGCCTTATTATTCACAAGTGTGAATATGAAGACCAGGGAACCTATATGTGTGAAGTAGCTGAAGAGAAGACATCCGCTACCCTAAAGGTTCATGGTATGTTTCACTGAAGTAGGAAATTACATCTATTGCAATGGTTTTGACTGCACAGCAAGAAATGCATTGTGGACAGTTTGTGTATCTCACAATTACTCATTTTGGTTAACTTTCTCTTCTTAGTGAGAAAGTGCTGGCAGAGCTATCCAGTGCTTCCTCTATCCTTAGAAGAGGTGCTTTGGAAGAGGTGCTAACTTAGTTTTTCCATTTATCATAGAATCATAGAATAGTTAGAGTTGGAAAGGACCTTAAGATCATCTAGTTCCAACCCCCTGCCATGAGCAGGGACACCACACACTCAACTATGTCGTCCAAGGCTCTGTCCAGCCTGGCCTTAAACACTGCCACGGTTGGAGCATTCACAACTTCCTTGGGCAACCCATTCCAGTGCCTCACCACCCTCACTGTGAAGAACTTCTTCCTTATATCTAACCTAAAGTTCCCCTGTTTAAGTTTAAAGACATTACCCCTTGTCCTACCACTACAGTCCCTTACAAAGAGTCTCTCCCCAACATCCTTGTAGGCACCCTTCAGATTATCGTAAGTGATTTCTCTCCTCTGGAATCTGAATGACATTTCTAGATTGGCAAGTTAGCAAAGATCAGCCTGGCAGGTTTATAATGGCTGGTGCTGACATGGTTTGGTTTAGGTTCTGCCATTGTCACAGGGGGACTTTGCCTGAATAGAGACTGTACAAAACTTGGGTATGATCTCAAGAAGTGCTCTGCTTTTTATATTGTAAATCCTAAGGAAAGTTTTAGGATTTCTAAGTCTGCATCTGTTCTTTATACTCAAGACAGTTTTTCCCTTTGTGTGTTGCACTGTGCAACTGGTGAAGCATCAGACATATTTTGTCACCAGGTTCTGAAGCACCCGAGAGAAACTAGCGCTAAAGGCCGGATACTGGACAGACAGGTCTGCTGTGCCCTGCAGATGTTGTTGTTCAGAGGGACATCTGAAGACCGATCAGCTTTTATTGCTTACTAGATGCTGTCCTCATGTGGTCACTTGGGTTCAGCAACATCTTCATGAACATCTGTCCTGTTCCACTGCTCTGTTGGACTCCCCTTTTTCTTCCTGATGTTGTGATTGGGATGGGTTGCTGTTTGAAAGCTGTCTGGTTTTCAGCTGAACTCTGCTCCTGAGGCTAATCTGAGGTGTATCAAGGCCTTGCCTTTCAAAAGGAAAGGGCTTCAACAGCATGGAAATATGGGCCATTTCTTACATAAATTAGTTCAAAGCTGCAGAGTTAAAGAGGATTATACTGAGTTTAGGGGGACTCTGAAGAAAAGGTATCTCCTTGTTAAACACGTGGCAGAGATTGCAGGCTTCTGTTTAATTTTCCTTGGTATATTTTCTTATTTAATATATTTAACTTCTTTTAAAACCTGTATGAAGTTCTGGCATCCATAAAATCCTCTTGCAGTGAGCTCCACTATGGCTTGTAATTTTACCTGTAGGTTCAAGCAAAAAAATATATTTACTGTGCTGAAGAAGGAAATTAGGGAGGGAGGCTGATCTACAGGAAAACACAATCCCTGTTGGTTTTTTTTCCATGCAAGTATGCAAAGGGTAAACATACCACACTCAGTTATGGAGAAACACCAAATAAATATTTGTCTCTGTGATTTCACAGCCCGAGATATCAAGATTGTTAAACCACTGAAAGATGTGGAAGTGAATGAATTTGAGAGTGCATCTTTCATCTGTGAGATTTCACATGATGAGGTCCAAACCCAATGGTACAAAAACGACAACAAGCTGAAGGCTGCTGACAATATTAGAATGCGTCAAGATGGTAAGATGGAAAAGCAGGCTCTCATTCTTGAATGAGGATGGGTTGGAATAGGTACTGGTATGAGAGGCTAGGCAGAGAGGTCTGACCTCCAAAACCAAGTTAAGAAGGGTCAGCAGAGAGTTGCCCTTTAATTCTGGGGCTGCAGTTGGGCTGGGACAGTGACACAGTGTTAACTTCAATAAGGTAAATTTGGTGTCATCCTACCATCCCATGCTGGGTAGGAATTTCTATCATTTGGCAGCGGGTGGAATCCTCTGTTTCAAGTACTGTCCCAGTGGTGGTGAGGGCCACATTGTACCTGTCTTTAGAGGGGCTGATATTAGGTTATCCTTTGATGCAGGGATGTAGACATAAGGGAATGGTCGGCCTTGCTGCCGTGAGAGCAGGTGGTGATGCTGAAACCAGATGGGTGGTGCTTGGCCTGGCAAGGTATCTTGGAGACTGAAGCTGTTTGCTCAGGGGAAAATATGTGTGATTGTGTCTCTTCTCAGGAAAAACGTATTCACTGACTTACATGTGCGTCCAAGTTAAAGATGCAGCAGAAATCAAATTTGTAGCAGAAAAGGCAGAATCTCGTGCTCAGCTTATGGTAAAAGGTAATTACATCTTTCATGCTAGCACTGCTTAAGCTCTCTTGTGTCACAAACCAACCAACTTCCCTCACTTTTAAAGTGAAGAAGGTTAAACAACACCTAGAGCTTTCAAGGAAAGCAAAAACTCCTGCCTATCTTACTGCATGTTAAATGTCAGCCTGGGAATTTACTTTTGCTAAATAACACAGTTTATTTTGTCACGAAGTTGGTTTTGTACACAAAGTCATGTTTGAACTTCAAGGGTCAAAAAGCTGTAGCTTGACTTTCTCCTGCATTTCCTCTTTCTGGTGTGTGTTTGAAAAGAATACAGCTTTTATTTTTATTATTATTATTTTTATTTTTGGTGTTAAACATTGTGATAGAGACAGAAAGAAGGAAGATATTTGAATTAAAACTCTGAGGAGCTCAGGAAATGTAAGAGCAGTCCTTGGCATAACGCTGCTGTGTAGTGTTGAGTAAATTACCTATTATCTCTGTAGTTCAATCACTCAAGTGGTAAAATATGGCTAAAATTTTTCCTGTGTACTTGCTGTGTGTTAGTGAGTGCTTAGCACAGTGAGGATTCCTGTCATCATCCAGATAAACTGAGTATAAAAGAAATACAGCTAATGAGCTTTTGATTGGCACCTTTCGTGGAAAATGTACTGTTTATTCCATCTTTTTTGACTCCTTTCAGAGCTGCCTGTAAAAATTGTGAAGCCTTTGAGAGATAAGATTGTTCTTGAAAAACATCGTGGATTCCTGGAGTGCCAGGTGTCTCGTGCCAATGCCAAAGTTCGATGGTACAAAAAGGACATTGAAATTCAGCCTAGTGACAAATATGAAATTGTGAGCGATGATGTCTACCGGAAACTCATCATCAACAATGCAGATTATGAAGATGAGGACATATACACTTGTGATGCCTTTGATGACAAAAGCAGTGCTAATTTCTTTGTTGAAGGTAGTAAACACTTTTTCCACTATGGGATGCACTGGAAGGAGGATTGGCTGATTAAAAAAGCCCTTTTCATTTACTTTGAAAAAATAGTAACACTTTGAAAGTATTTTAATTTGATGTTGATTTATTCTGAAGTCCACTGATATTGAATCCTTTTAGAGTTATAAATCAGGAACATTCAGGAAAATTGATATATGTATAGTTTCCTAAGGAAAGTGATGAAATTCCTGTTCCACAGAAATTTATCAAATGTATTGGAGAAAGTTTGTTGTAGAAAAGTTGCAGTAGCTTGCCAAAGTCTTTTCTACTATCAACACTTCCATTCCAATGAAGCTTCTTTTCTATTTTATAGTGCCAGATGTTTGACAAAAGATAGGAAGGTGGTGTTAGAAATAGGACTGGGAATCAGGAGATAGAGATTCTCTTGAGGCAGCATCACAGTCTCAATGTCTGACCTATGACCAGGAATATGTATTTGTTTTTATATTAAAAAGTCTGTTTTAAGGCATTTTGAGCTAATAAGTAAAGTATTCAAATGCAGAAAAGATGGCATGAGTGTGTGGGCTGGTATTGGACAAGTTCCTTCATGACTCATAAATCCCTGCTTTCTCATTCCATCCAGAGCAAGCTATTAATATTGTGAAGGAGCTGTGTGATGAGGATGTGACTGAGCCTGAAGAAGCCAACTTTGAATGCGAGATATCCATTCCATCTGTGAAACCCCCTAAATGGTCTCTACGTGGAGAAGTCTTACAGGCAGGCAGAAATATTATCATGCATCAAGGAGGAACCATCCACAAGCTGACAATACTGAAAACAAGTACCGATATGACAGGTGTCATTCAGTTCTCCATTGGAAAATCAAAATCCACAGCAAATCTGCTTGTCAGAGGTAATGTCATACACCCTGGCTTGAATTAGATCGTGAAAGATGCTCCTTCTCATAGTCCCTGGAAAATAATTTTTCATACATATTGTCTAATGTGCAGACTCTACTGGGTGGTGTCTCCCAGGTTGTGTACCTGGAAGATCTGTAAGCAGATCTGTAAGTTCCGAATTACGAGTTGTTGGGGGCAATGTTGGATGCACGCAATGAAACAACAATGTCTTAGGAAGGGATCTCATTAAATGATTTCAGTGTGCCTGGTATTCAAATCTATTAAACTAGGATTAGTTTTTGGTTTATTTTTTTCTTCTTGACTTTACCAAAGAGGACAAAATAGATGAAATTTGCCAGAGGAGTTTATTTCTGAACTAGACAAGTTTGATAGCTTATTTATTTAATCCACTTTGTCATTGACTTGATCTGGGACAAAGTTTCAGGGCTTTTTATCTTCTACTGTCACCAAAGTAAAAATCTCCAATCACATCCTGAAGTCCTTGTTTTGTCTTTAATTTGCTCTTACTTGAATAAAAGCCTCAATAAGAGAGCAATTCAGTAAGCACTGAACAGAACTGGACCATGCATTTGGTAGTTAATATACAGTATTATCTTATAGAAACCAGCATTTCCTATGGATCGTCATGCCATTTTAGCTCCAAAGCACATCAAGTCTCTAAGAGAAACTTGTAGGATAATCTGAACAGTTCACAAAGCAGTTGTGAATGACTAATTGGCATGAAATACAGACTAGAAACTTTTCTTCAGATTGATCCTTTCTTCTTTCCCAACCCTGCTTTGCAGATTACCACATCCAGATCACCAGGAAGATGGAGGACAAGACAGTTCTGGAGCGTCATTCAGTTATCCTGTCTTGCGACTTCAGGCCTTCTCCAAAGGTTGTGAAATGGTTCAAGGGCCACGAGCTCATCGAGCCCTCTGAGAAGTACAAAGTCAAGCGGGAGGAGTATTCAGCAGAGCTCAAGATTTTGAAGGTGAAGCCTGAAGATGCTGGTGTGTACAAGTGCAGGGCTGGAAGCGCAGAGACTGAAGCCACACTCACTGTTGAAGGTATGAGTGACTTGCAGCAGGAGGGGCTTGCCTGTTGCATGTCTTTATGGTTCAGTATTTCATTCTAAGTTTCACTTCTTGAGTAGAGGTAGATTCCCACAGTTATCTTCGGCTAATTTTATATATATGCAGTATCATAAAAGAACTGACTATATTATGCACCTTGCTGATATTCCACCACTTGCCATAAAGTAGGCAATACAGACAGAAGTGCACCATCTGGGTAAGGCAGAAATTCATGCATCTTTATCAAGGCACATTATTTTTCATTTTATCCAAGGAACTAGAACTCTGGTACTTCCACCTAGAAAAGTCCTTTATGTTAAACTGCTACAGGCCTCTGATTCTGGTGATCTTGGTTGTGGTTTTCATTTCCTGACCACTGTGTCAATTTTTATAGCTGCTATATGCTTGCTATTCATAATGATGTTCTACTTCACCTGGGTATGGAATTATTTTTAGCCAGTTCTCCACCTCTGGTGAAACTGTGAGAAAAAATGTTCACAGTGTCACTTTCAGCAAGACTTGGAAGTGAGCAATGGAATAATTTCTGGAATTCCAGAGAGCAGCTCTTGGTAACAGTTTGGCATTGCAGAGGTTCATCCAAATGTCAAAATTATTTAATACTCTTAAACCCTCCTCTGAGTGAGGTAGTCCTCGAGAAACAGCATTTCAGGAGTGGGGTAGCTGCAAAGAGAAACCTCTGGCCAAAGACTGAGAAAGAAAAGAATTAAATTTATGCTGCTCCCTAAACCTGAGCGAGTTGCTTAATCTTTGTAGCTAAAACCATTGTCTTCATCTTGTCCTCTGTGTCACAGTTTCCCTGGAAATGAGTTGGGGCCAATTTAGTTATAATGTGTGTGTGTGCAGTGACTAAAACACAGAGATGAGTAAATCATCTAATAAACTCTAAACACTATGAAATCTGTTTGTAGTAACAATACTGATTTATGATAACAGTGGTGATGGTGCACCTTGGTTTCCTACAGCCCGCAATGTAGAAGTACGCAAACACCTGCAGGACGTGGAAATTGAAGAAGAGAGCTCCGCTGTCTTCTCCTGTGAGCTCTCCCATGATGATGAGGATGTGGAATGGTTCCTCAACGACACCCTCCTTTACACCAACAATTTAAATGACATCAAGAATGTTGGCAATTGCTACATGCTGACAATGAAGCAGGTCAAGCCTGAGGATGCTGGCACAGTGACAATGAAGTCAGACAAAGTGACAGAGAGTGTGCATCTGAAGGTGATAGGTGGGTTGTGATTACACTCCTCCTGAGTGTGAATAAGAGATGTAAAGGAGATGTTATTCATCATATCCATGCAGCAAACCTGCTCATAAGCTTCACCTCTCTGGGGCCAAGCAGTAGGTGTATAGGGGCTTTCTTGCAGTGTAAGTTTCTGCTGTAGGTGATGATTTTTCTAAGGAGGATTGTTTTGGTATTCTGCCAACAATTTCCATAGATGTTTATAATCCTTGTACTTATCAGGATAGTCTCAAGAGCGATTTCCTTTATTTGTTTGTCTCTTCAATAGTGTATAGTCTATAAAATGTTGTTCTAAAGATTTTCGGTTGCAGGAACCTGAGCTTCAGTGTATCTCTAAGGGTAGGGCACACCTTTAGTTAATTGGTTCTAGAGTTGGACTCAAGCAGCAAAGACAAGGCAGTTTGCTGCTGTCCGTATATCTTGAAGTTCTGTCATACAACTGAGTAGCTGTGGTTTAACATGTTCTGCACTCTCAGCAAGTTTGTGGATGACACCAAACTGAGTGTTGTGGTTGACACACCTGAGGGTGCTTGGAGAATCATCTGTCTCATTTCCTTCACATTTTTCCTCCTGATCATTACTAATTTGTTCTTCCCAGACTATCTGAATAATTTAGGTCTTTTACTCTATCCACTCAGACAGACTGAAGGATTTCCTCTTCCTTCCTTTTTTTATATCTGGTCAAATATTCCCTCCTTATAAATATCTTCTGTGTCAAATATATTTTAGAGAATGGGAATCAATAAATCAAAGGGGTAAGAGCAAAAATGTCCATGAGAGCAAGGACAGTGTGCAGCATATCTATTTATTACTGTTCCTACTGCATGAATCCTTCACTGTGAAAGGACAGTGCCAGCTCTCTGGCTTTAAAAGACCTACATCTCAATTAGTACCCTTCACATATATTTCCTCTAACCACCTGACCCTTTTCCATGTGCAGACTGCTGCAAGGAGAAGGGATGTTCCCAGAGAACATCTGCTCCTTCACGATGCAGACAGGACTTCCTTAGACGTAGTCTGTCTTGTCTAGTAACTATTTCATAGAAGCTGCCCCTCTGGCCTTCGCTAGGCCGTACATGCCACCTCCAATCCCCATTCCCTGTGATGGGATCTCCTGTGCCTGACAGATGCCAAACACAGAGTAAAAAAGAATTATTGCAATTTCATAGGTGCACAGTCATAGAATCATAGAACAGTTAGAGTTGGAAAGGACCTTAAGATAATCTAGTTCCAAGTCCCCTGCCATGAGCAGGGACACCACACACTAAACTATGTTGCCCAAGGCTGTGTCCAGCCTGGCCTTGAACACTGCCACGGTTGGAGCATTCACAACTTCCTTGGGCAACCCATTCCAGTGCCTCACCACCCTCACTGTGAAGAACTTCTTCCTTATATCTAACCTAAACTTCCCCTGTTTAAGTTTAAAGCCATTACCCCTTGTCCTATCACTACAGTCCCTGATGAAGAGTCCCTCCCCAGCATCCTTATAGGCCCCCTTCAGATATTGGAAGGCTGCTATGAGGTCTCCATGCAGCCTTCTCTTCTCCAGGCTGAACAGCCCCAACTTTCTCAGCCTGTCTTCATACAGGAGGTGCTCCAGCCCTCTTATCATCCTCGTGGCCCTCCTCTGGACTTGGTCCAGCAGCTCCATGTCCTTTTTATGCTGAGTCAAAAGAGGGACCATGATTACAGCACTGAATATCACTACCCGTGATACACAGTACAGGCTGCCTCTCTCTTTTCTGGTATCCTCCCATTAATAAATTCTGATTTCCCTAAAACTCACTCGAGGTGTGAGACTGCTTTAGGTTCTGCATTGGTATCAGCAGCATTGACAAGGATTTACTTAAGCTTGCCTTAAGTATCTGGCGTCAACTGAAAGGATCTTCATTTAAATATCCTGGTTATTCTGTTTTGTCCATTAACCTTCAGAGAAACCTGCTGTCTTCATGAAGTCATTGGATGATGTTTTTGGTGAGGAGCGAGGTATGATTAAACTGGAATGTGAAGTCTCTAAAGAGAAGGTCAAACCTGTTTGGAAAAAGGATGGTGTGAAGCTCACCTCTGATAAGAAGTATGAGCAGACGCAGTCTGGGAAGACCCTGTGTCTCCTTATCCATGACCTTGAAAAGACAGATGCAGGTTTATACACCTGTGATATTGGCACTGATGTTGCCAAATCAAAGGTCAGCGTTCAGGGTAAGTATTGTAGATGATGGCAAGTCAACGGGTGCTGCGAATATGGGTGGGCTTTGTCATTTGGTCTCACACATATTTCTCCAGAAGCCTCACATAACAGTGGTGTCTGAGTAATTCCTGTTACTCTTTGATGGCAGTAGATATGGTGTTACAGTGAAAATCACTTGTCAAGAATGTACTGTTTCCTTCATGAACATTCCTAAGGTGAAGAAATCCTCCCAGAAGAGTGAATAATTTCTAAACCAAAGAAACAAAACTTCAAACAAACAATAAACCACCCACCCCCCCCAACCCAAACAAACCCTGAGCAGCTTATTTCACATTTTAAGCTATTAATTCAGACGCTGTTGTGGGAACACAAAAGTAGAACAATGTTGTCTATTGAAGAACCCAGCAGTTCAGCCTGTCCTCTAATCCTTGTGGCTGCCTGAAGGGAATTTTTCATGGCTTTCAGATTTATACTGATAATGAGACAAATTTTGAGTTCGTCAGATTTGAACTGTCCCCTTTCCTATATCTTTGTGGTGATTGAGTGGATAATGTCTGAGAAATCATTCCCATGTCAAATACATCTGTAAAGAACGCAATGGTGTCCTGCCAATCTAGTAGATAAACCAGTGTGATGAGTTAAAATGTCGATACTACTACTCATGTCAATCATAAGTCTTGTCCTTGTATTAACCTACACTGTGTTTTCCAGAACTGAACATTGGCATCACAAAACGGCTGAAGAACACTGAAATCCAGGAGGGAGAAGATTGCACTTTTGAATGTGTTCTGTCCCATGAAAGCATTGATGACTTCAGCTGGACACTGAATGGGAACAAAGTGGAAAGTGGAGGGCGATTTAAAGCCTCTAATATGGGTCGAAAATACACACTCAACATCAAAAGCGTGATTATTGCTGATGCTGGGGAAGTAATTTTTACTGCCCGTGGTCTAACCTCCAAGGCTTCTCTGATTGTGAAAGGTAATGACATCAGCAGGGTTCTGAGGTTTATTTCTTGGGTGTCTTTTCATAAGGTATGTCAGTAAACCATAAAGGCAAACTCTTGTTGCGATTAAAGTGAATAGCAGCCTTCCCTGTGAGCCTTGAAGCACTGAGATTTTTTTTCCTTCAGCCAAGTGCAAGGCTGAAACCTTTGATAGATATTTGAGAATTGCAGAGTACACTGGCTAGTGTAACTGTACAGACAATTACGACCCAGACTGTGTGCATCAGATAAAATAAACCAAGACTCACTGGGTAGTTAGTAGAGAGAAGAAATAGGTAGTTTTCAGACATAGTTCATCATCTACAGTTAAACCTATTGAGGACAAAATAAATTGTTCCTTGAACTCTACTACCTGTACTTAACAGATCACTTCTGGCTGTATAGCAGCCCTGGGGTGAGTGCCTCTGTTCTCTATAACGTAGGTAGATCCCACCATAGCTGCATGCATATAGTAACTTCAGTGATGACAAAATGACATTCCCCGAAATGGACGGCATCAGAACAAGTCTTCAGTTCCTGTAATCAATCATTAATATTCACTGAGAGCCCATAACTGCAATTAATATCTACTAAAGAGCAAGACTCTTTCCTCCCTCCCTTCCCTAACACAATATGAATCATTCATTGGGGAACATGAAAACTTGCTAGATATCTGAATTGCAAAAAACCCAGCCATATAGTGTGCATGATTTTTATTCAAAGTTCCTTTTTTGTTTTTTTCCCCTTTCCCTTCCCCCCTTCTCCTCTTCAGAAAAACCCACTGAGGTTACAAAGCAGCTGGAGGATAAAACAGCAGCCACAGGGCAGGACATCAGCCTGAGCTGTGAATTGTCAAAACCGGATGTGAACATCAGGTGGTACAAGGATGGCAAAGCAATCCGAAAAAGTCAGAAATATGACTTGCTCCAAGAAGGAACACAGGCTATTCTGATCATCCATGACTCCACAATTAAGGACAGTGGGGAGTACACTTGTGAGACAGAGGTGTCTAAAACAAAGGCCAGGATCACAGTGCAAGGTCAGTTGAAGCATGCATAGGGCTGGTACAAAAGCTGGAGTAAATATCTAAAACCTGTGGGAAATTATCCTGTTTAGAGAGATAGAAGAACAAGTTTTAGTTTTCTAAAACTTCATAGATTAAAAAACTTTAAAAAAAAACCCAACTCTGAAAAAACTCCTTGTAGGTACTAAAGAATCTTATGTGCTCTACCTCTCTCTCCTCTTCCAGAAAAACCCAATTATTTTGTCAAAGAACTTTCAGATCTAAAAGTCGATGAAAATGGAACTGCAGTCTTTATGTGCCAGAGTGAGAAAGCTGCATCCTCTGTGGTCTGGAGGAAAGGCATGGCTGAACTCAGGGCTGGCAGGAAATATGAGATCACACAGAAAGGACAAGTCCTCCAGCTGACCATAAAAAACTTGGAGAAAAGTGACAGTGACACTTACACCTGCGACATTGGAGATGCCCAGTCCAGGGCCAAGCTAGTTGTGCAAGGTATGCATGAGAGGAATGTGTTTGTACATCCCATTCCTCCAGCAGGAAACTTCATATGTGTAGACAGATCTATTTCTCCGCATATGAGTAGCAAATCCACTGATTTCTGGCTCTTTCTCACTCACGATGTATATACACTCCACAGAACATGAGGACCAAAACATAGCAACATGCAGAGCAATTTGTCAATTTGAAGCAATTACACATGAAGTACTTTGGGTATGATTTAAAGCCCAAAATATTGATGTGAGGAGAGGCTGGTGTTACTGTGTGAAGATACGATAGATATAAGTCAGAGTGCCTGCCATTAGATGAAGGAAAAATTATTCTGCCTCCAGGCTTTTCTCCATGTTCTTTGATGCCTCTTTCTGTTAATAGTTTTTAAGACTGGAGGGGTAAATGAGTGGTCCAGGGATCTTTAAGTGCATGACATCCCCCTGCACCTTAGAGATGAAGGATAAAACAGTCTCCAGCTGAAAAGTACAACCTAACAGCTTTTAATTGATGCTATGGGTGGCAAATGAGCTTTGGTGGCTGATGTTAACAGCAGGGCAGTGTTTAAGGGAAAGGAGTGAGGTCTGGTTTTTAATGTTTCTTACAGTTCCCTTACTGGAGCCCCAGCTGGGAGAAACTGTTGACCTGAAATTGATGAAACAGTGAATAGAACAGTAGGAACAAGTCAAGAATAGTCACATGGAGGTGCAGTGGTGGTGTCCACTTATTTGTTGTTATAGTTGGTTATTAAAAACTAGGAGGTAAAGCCAGGCTCTTCCACCTCTGATCATCTGATAGAACAGCCTTCAGAAACAAAAAAGTGTGCTTAATCCGCATCATGGCCTCAGGATCTCATTTACCTGAATTCTCTGTGAGGTTTCTAATACCAACTTTTCTGGGTGGAAAAAACGCCTCTCTGAAACAAAACTCAAGATAAAAGTAAAAAAACCTCTGTACTGGTTTTGTAAGTAGGAGCAATATCAGATTTATCTTTGTATACAGTGATGACCTTATTTTATTTGTTTATTAATAGTTAAGTGTACATCTAGATCTATACAGGCAGTTTTTCAGGGCTGTTGTTCTGCTTCTTTTTAGTAAAGCTGCAGTCAAACACTCTTTTCCCTTCCCACTGTATTTATTGTAAAGCTGAGCTCAAAGAAGATGGGGCTGAGTGCTCCTATTGCATGGAAAGCAAGTTATATTTGCTCTAGAAAAACAGAGGAGTTGTCATGGAAGGGATGCTTAGTGATGTCTAGAGCCCAGTAATGCTGTCATTATAACATCCTTTCAGTCTTTACAGGTAGTTTCATTAGGAGAAATTGTAACATTGGATTTGCATTGTATTGGCTAGTTGTTCTGCTATGTATTCTAGTCCTTTGAAGTTGTCTTCATCCTGTTTTGGTGTGTGTCCTGTATATATTGTCTTCCTGTGAGTGGTTTTTGTGTTCAATAACAGCGGAATTGTGTTTCAGTCTTCTGTATCATGAACATATTTCTTTCTTGAAATACTCGCATGGGAAATCTTGGAGTTTTCCATGACGATTTTCAAGCTAGAAACTGAAGAATACAGTAATTGATGTATCTATGTTCCTTTCAGGCCAGAAAGTGCTAATAACAGAAGACCTGGAAGATGTCACTGTGTTAGAAGGAGAATCTGCCATGTTCAAATGCAGAATCTCTCCTGTAGACTGTAGCAAAGTGCAGTGGTTTTTGGATAAAACCCCGCTTCATACCAATGAACTTAATGACATCCAGTCTCAGCCTGGTGGATATCACTTGCTAACGTTGAAAAAACTCTCACTGAAGGACTCGGGGGTCATTACTTTTGAAGCTGGTGATAAGAAAACATCTGCCAGTTTGGTTGTTAAAGGTAATTCCATCATAAAAACTGCAGGAGAGGAAAGAATGGGTAGAAATAAGTACGGGTTAAGGTGGGTAGGTGAAAAAAAGAACAAAAATTCAACAGTCTTAGTCACATCATGCATATACTGTATATGTTCAAGAACAGCATTACCTATATAATGAGGCTAGGGCTAGATAATGAACACTAATAATCGGAGAGTTTATTGGATCTTAGATGATAATGTTATATTGTAGTGACAGTACACTGGATGCCTTGTCCTGTTTTACTTGATCCAAGCTGATAGGGTGATGATAAATGAGGAGAAATCAATTACTTCAAGGAAAAAAAAAACATGCAGCAGTAAGTTTTTAATTTAATTTTCATTGAAAGGCAACAGTATGTGTGTTCTCTGCTACCTGTTGTTGTCGATGGATTGTTTTCTCTGGAAAAGTTAAACTGAGCTAAAACTGCAGCATTAGTCTATTTCTATAGTTAAGGAATAAAATGGATTAGAGATTTCCCTCAAATTCAAAAATTTGCTCAAATTTTGCCATGCTACAGAAATACAAACAGATTTTTTTTTTCTGAAGGTGAATGAAAGGTCTTACTTTCAAAGCATGATTCCTATTGGTAACTCTAACCTGTAATGCTATAGTACCAAAATCAGGACTTGGTCGCCTGGTTGATTAGATTTTTATGAATTTAAAAGCATTAAGCTAGGGGGCATAAGATCTACCCTGGCAAATTTAGCTATTGGTATCTAGCTTAGGCTGCTTCCATAAGCTGTATAGAAAGATAAGCACTTCCAGAGAGCAGTTCATCTTCTCTGTCTTAATGAACTACTTTGGAAGTGACTATCTGGTCTCTGAAGGCATCTGTCCTCTTATATCAGTTATAGACACCCTACATGACCAGTCTGAGGTTTTAAAGGACTCGTACTGCTGAGATGAGACCTGCTTTAGATGACTGGCTTTGAGAGACCTGTATTTCAACACTTCATGAAGAATTAACATTTTCATGTTCAGTTAGAAGGTTCAAATTAATCAGCTCACAATGAAAAGGGCTTAGGAACATCATGGCTTCACCTTTTTCCTATTTAGTGAAATGTGAGAGAGGTCTTATTTATGTTCTTCTCGGTTTCTCTCAGATGGAGTTGAGTATTTACTAAATAACACTTTAGGGCATGACTGGTGCCTTCTTGAGGACTTTATAGTCCGGAACATCAAATTATTTGTTGTTAATCTCGATCTTTAGTTTTGATACAAGTAATCTTGGATGTAAATCTCGCAGATTACTTCTGATCTGAAAATTCACACCTCTTCTGAAACATCTCAGATGGTTTTTATGTGATTCTAGAGAAGCCCTACATCTTCACAAAGGAGCTGGTTGATACTGAAGTCACTGAGGGAGAGGATGTGATCCTTCACTGTGAAACCTCCAAACCAGACAGCCCTGTAAAGTGGTGCAAAGATGGGAAGAGCCTTAGGAATTCTTCCAAGTATAACATCAGTCGGTCGGGATTTGAAGCCAAGCTTGTCATTCACAGAGCAGAAGAAAGAGACAGTGGCAGATATGAGTGTGAGGCTGGAGCAGCTAAAAGTAGCGCCATTATTACTGTCAAGGGTAAGAACATTTGGAGTGATGGTTTGGGTCCTAACTCATTATCTAACACTGAGGTTAGAGGAATAAATTGAAACTATAAAAATGTGAAGCTACACTGGGAAGAAATCTCATGTCTTTGCACCACAGTGCAGGAGAGGTTCTCATCAAGTGACAGAATGTGAAATAGGAAAATCCTTCATCTTACCTGGTTTTAGCTCTGTGAAAGTTAAATGTCTAAGCTCCCTAGATAATCATAGAATGAATCATTGAATCATGAATAGTTTGGGTTGGAAGGGACCTTAAAGATCATCTAGTTTCAACACCTGGTCATGGGCAGGGACACCTTCCACTAGGCCAGGTTGCTCAAAGCCCAGTCCAGTAGGACATCCACCCAGCATAAGAGGTAAGCCAGAGAAAGAATGAATTGTCTTCTGAAGCTGTCTCCACTGATGGCTCTCTCCAAGTAGGGAGCTCACACACTGACACTTGGCTGGGTAATTGATTTATGCAGCCAAATTTATTGAGAGTAATGTACCCAAAGAGTGATCAGGCAGGAGATGCTATCTAAAGGGTTGTTGTCTGAGCTGAAGGAAGAGTTCCCTGAGCAAGCTGGATGAGCACGTTCATAAGTGCTGAGTCTGAGCTATGTCGGAACAGGGCTCATCTACTACCCAACTTACGATCATTCCTGTCTGAGGTTGAGGAGGAGCTTGGTTTCTGTGAGCAAAATCGCTTGTTCACGTGGGCAGGTTGGAGCAGGTACAGTAAGGTTATTAATGCCACAGGTTGTGTTTAGCCTGGCCAGTGGGTATTCTACATGCAGCTGGTATAATGTATTTGGGAAGGGCAGATCCAAAGCTGCATCTGGATTAGAGAAGCCAGTGTGAACAAAAAGCATTTGGGTTGTTGGAATAGTTAACCTGAATCTCAGAACATGAAGAGGGAAGGCAAGCTGTTCACAGTGTTTATCCAGAGCACAAACAAACCAACTTAAGGCTGAGATCTGCTGTGCAAGGCAAGAGAAGACCTTGATGATGTAATGGAGAAGAAGTGATAGTTAACGGTCCCAATTTGCCAGGTCTTTCTGTAGCACTAGGATGTTTTCTCAATAGACGTTACACACAGTAGAAAGATTTTAGTTGACTTCAGTAGGACCTGGATCTCACCCATAGCAAAGAAGAGTTTTCTGTTAGAAAAAGCCACATTTGTAATGTTACCTAACAGTCCATTTTTTCCTCTCTCTGGGTGTGGATGGATGTAGGATTTAAACACATGGATTCAAATCACCAGCAGATGTCAAGTCATAAATTACACTGAGTAGCTTCCTTTACATACTAGGGTCACATCAGAACAGCAAGATGCAAAAATAGCACAAAAAAAAATAAAGTCCGTAGGCATGTGACACTGAGTGTCCTGAACTAGAGGTAACAGAGAATAGGCTGTAGTTTTTCAACAGCCACAGGACACAACCTAATGAATCAGTAGATAACTTGCGTATTTGTAAGATAGCAGAAGCCAGGAAGAAAATGGGGTTTTCTTTGTGATCTAAGGGGAAAAAACTTCAATTGAGTTTTTTTCCCCAATAAGTGCCTTCCCTACTTTTTTTTCACTAGCTCACCCTAAAGTCTGAATGCAGGCCATGACAGAGCCTGCATAGGAATCTCAACAGGGATCCTTTCATGTACATCTGTGCTTTCCTCTCTGTGTTTTCTCTGTGCTGGTTTTAAGTTTGTATTCATGTTGGATAAAACTATTCTGTGGGGTTTTTGCAATGAGAAATCAATACTGCTGGTCATGACAAAGAGTGCTTTGCTATTCCTGTGTCCTCTGTGTCGTAGAATCATAGAATAGTTAGGGTTGGAAAGGACCTTAAGATCATTCAGTTCTAACCCTCTGCCATGGGCAGGGACAACTCACACTAGCATATGTCGCCCAAGGCTCTGTCCAACCTGTCCTTGAACACCACCAGGGATGGAGCATTCACAACTTCTTTGGGCAACCTGTTCCAGTGCCTTGCCACCCTCACTGTAAAGAACATCTTCATTATATCTGGTGTGAGTTATGCTCAGTGAAGTTTTACATTTTTTGTGCCAGTGATCTAGCTCTGGCCACCCACCTGCAATGCTGCAATGCACTGCTTGTGTTGTTAATAACAGTGCAGCACCTGCCACTGGCCTTAACAATGTTAATAATGACAACAGTAGTAGTAGCAAAATCTTCAGTAGTACAGATAGTGGTTAAAAAGAAAATAAGCATATGGTCTCAAATCCTATTTTGCTGCTCTAGAGTGTTGGCAGCCAAATGTCAGAATCTGTTCACTCTTTGTCAGTGATTTTCCATTCCTGTGGTTTTCTAGCTTAATAACAAAGTCTGAAATAAAAACAGAAAAATGATTTCTGATCTTGTGTGTTTCCTTAAATATTTGCAATATTATTTTTCAGAAATGCCAGTTCTTTTCAAACAAGAGCTCCAAAATGAAGAAGCTAAAGAAGGAAAACAAGTCAGGCTGACCTGTGAGCTCAGCAAACCTGATACTCCAGTGAAATGGATGAAAGGAGACACCATTCTCTATGCCAGTGAGAAGTATGAATTTAAGCAGCATGGTACTGTGGCAGAGCTCATTATTCGAGACATCAAATCGATAGATTCTGGAGACTATACCTGCAGCACGGGGGAACAGAAGACCACTGCTCGGGTGAAAGTAAATGGTAGGCAGAGTTACATACATTGCCACATCTTCTTAATGCATTGCTTAATAGATCTTCTGTTAAAAAAAGTCGCATAGCACTTCTCTGTTTTTTTCATGGCAATGTCATCTACAAAGTCACATTTAACATTCAGAGGTAATATTGCATGTTTGTAACTACTTGTATATATTTCATTCATGTAATCTCACATTACGTATCTGGGATTTTAAATATGTAATTTCCCACAGAACAAAAAATAAATAAGTGCAGAGGGTTCATTTTCTATATCCATAATTCCTGACCTATCAGCTATTTTGCATGGCTGTGATTAAGACTGGAGTTAGACATGGAGACCAGGAGTATTGGAGCACAAGAACACGAAAACATATGTCCAGTCACAGGCAAATTGCAGGTGGCCAACTGATGAACTTTTAGGCCCCTGAATTCCTCATAACATACTTTTAAAAGGCTCTCAGATGCCACCTGCAATCCTCGATGGCTTTAAACAAATACAGTTCCTATAGTAGTATAGCAAAAGTAGTATGTGCTGGAGCAGAAAGCAGGAGAGATACAGGGCACGAATGTTGTCTTGGAGCCCTGCAGCTGCAGGGAATTCATCATCCTCATTGAATGGTTTGGGTTGGAAGGGACCTTAAAGCTCATCCAATTCTAAAACCCCTGCCATGGGTAGAGACACCTTCCACTAGACCAGGTTACTCAAAGCCCCATCTGACCTGGTCTTTGTTAGGTGAGGATGCCCAGAGGACTATGAAGGGGTCCTTATTAAAGATGAGGGAAACCTCCAACATACTCCTAGGAATCTACAGTGAGGTGATAACATCTGGGGGAGAAATTTCTTCCTGCTCCCAAGCAGAGTCACTTTGATGCCACATATATAAAGTGCACTTTGATGCCAAGGCAGGGTCTAGAGCTGCTCTGCGCATATGGAAAAAGGCTGGGTTTAAGAAGTAAAAGCTATAATGTGCCATTTGTTATACAGCAGGTCAAGAGGGCATGTCCTAATCCTTGGTTCTATTTTCTAGCTGTGCCTGTCCTTTTCAAACAAACCTTGGAGAACACAGAAATGGAAGCAGGAAAGTCTGTCTCCTTACGCTGTGAACTCACAAAAGCTGATGCCACTGTGGTGTGGAAGAAGGGAGAAGCCACGCTCCAGGCAAGTGCCAAATATGAAATGAAGCAGAAGGGGACGGTGGCAGAGCTGGTGATTCATAATGCAGAGCCAGAAGATGCGGGAAGATACACCTGTGACACAGGAGACCAGCAGACCACAGCCCAAGTCAAAGTCCAGGGTAGGAATAAGACAACTGCTTGTGACCATTTGTTGTTGTTCTTGCCATGGTCCTGCTAGCTTCTGCACATTTAAAGTGAACATTCAGAGAAAAAATGGATCAGTACAAGCAAAATGCAGCTCTGGCTGGGTCCGTTATGTTTTCTGTTTTCTAGGATGATAACTTCATGCTAAAACATAGCAATCAAATATACCTGATAACAAAATATCTTTCCTTGCTTCTGAAATAACTGTTCTGCTTTCTGCTCTGGATAGAGGTGTTTGGGTGAGCTCTAAGCCAGGAGGTAAGAAAGGCTTCAGCTGTACTTTTTGTTAAAGAATATGCAATTCATTTCTATGTTTTACTCTGTGACCAGCAGGATTCGGGCAGCAGAAGGGTAATTACTTTGATATTCTAGTTATTGGAAAATAATTGTTTTGTTTTTATTTCCCCCCAAACTCATAGAGTGCTATTGTAAATGCAAGTAGAGTCCTGGAAATGCAGGTAGGTCAGAGCTTATTAGCTGTGCCCAGAATTTGTTTCAGCTTTAGGTCCCATATAAGGTCACCAGTTGGTAATGATGCTCCTAAAGTAAAATGAGAACACTTAATTCCTCAGCTATCTCTGTCCTTGTCAAAGAAGAGCTGAAGAACGTGGAAGCTGTGGAAGGTGGGACAGCCACCCTGCAATGCCAGCTGAGCAGAGAGACCCCCGTGGAGTGGAGGAAAGGGCACACTCTTCTCCGGCCAAGTAACAAGTACAAGATGAGGCAGGAAGGCACAGTGGCTGAGCTGCTGATCCACGATCTGGACTTAAAGGATGCTGGAGACTATACATGTGTAGTGGGGAACCAAAAAACCACAGCAGCTTTGTCAGTAAATGGTAAAAAGTCAGAAATAACCTGTGAAACTCTGGAATGTTTCTGTCCATCTCTTCCCTCCTCCTCTCTGTACGTTCCCTCACAACATCATGTCATTCATGTCCTGCTTCTACTGTTTCTGTCTTTCTACTTTTTCATGTTGCCATGTCACTCCTTTCCCCAATTCCCATCCACAATCAGCTTTCATTATGCCTGCTGTTGGATGTGTGTGTGTTGTATTGTCTTTTTACCTTTCCTCAAGCGAAGGGTGCTAACATGCACGTATGTTTTCTTTAATTAGTATGGAAACATAAGATTCCTTGGGATTTTCTGTTAAGGAGGGTTCATCACCTTTAATGATGAGAATGGGTTTGTCATTATGCATGATCCCAATCAAGATCATGCATGCTTTGATTCCTACAGAACAATTTACTAGATAGGTTTTTTTACCATCTACATTAAAAGAAAGGCAGGATGTGCATAAGGATAAGGATGTTGGAATAACGCTTAGGTAGTCATACGATAAATCACGATTCAGCCTTTGCCCAGAGATCTGGACAGGGCCTTGGGTTGCAACCCCTTTTCATTCTGCACCTCTCAGCCCTGCCAGTCCGTTTCAAGAAAGAGCTGAAGAATGAAGAAGCCACCGAGAGTGGGACGGCCACGCTGCAGTGTGAGCTGAGCCAGGCAGTGGGCTCGGTTGAGTGGAGGAAGGACGGGAAGGTGCTGATGCCAGACAACAAATACAAAATGAGACGGGAAGGGCGTTTTGTTGAGCTGGTTATCCAAGACCTAGACTTGATGGATGCTGGGAGCTATACCTGTGTGTGTGGAGACCAGAAGACAACAGCTGCTTTGAGAGTGAATGGTAACCATTCTACCTGTGTTTCTCATTAAGCTGCATATTTGGCAGTATTTATTGGTCATCCAAAATGTGGTTAGTGTGATTTCTTAAAGGCTTCATGCTCTTGGCTTTATGATGTGAAAGAGCCACTCTATTAGAGAATATTCTTTTGTCCTTTTTTTGCTTTGAGACAGCACAGCCATATTGTATATTGTTTTCTCTAATTTATTTCTCTCTACTTTATGAGGTTTTAAACCCTTTCAACTGTATCCACCCAGCAGTAGTGCATTTTTGGTTAAATATGTACAATGAAGCCCAGTAACTCACAGCAGAATCCAGTTCATTTCACTCTAGTGCTGATTCCTTCTCTGTTGGTATTGCGTCCTTCAGCCTTGCCTATCCTCTTCCAAGAAGAAATGTTGAACAAGGAAGCTACAGAGGGCGAGGCAGTCACTTTGCACTGTAAGCTGAGCAAATCAGCCCCGGTTGAGTGGAGAAAGGGGAATATGGTCCTCAAACCAAGTGAAAAATACAAAATAGAGCAGGAAGGTCCCTTTGTGGAGCTCATGATCCGGGACCTGGATTTGGCAGATGCTGGTGATTACAGCTGTGTGTGCGGAGATCAACAGACTACAGCTGCTTTGGCAGTTAATGGTAAAAAGAAATTCTTCACCCATGCTCCAAGTAAACTTGTGTAATTCTCTTTCCTCTCTTCCTCTTTCTCTCCTGTTTCATCTGGTCCCTGTACACTTTCTATCCTTTCTCCAGCTGATTAATTTTTCCATCCCATTTTCGTTCTCTCTCTCTCTCCTTTCACCTGATGCCCTCTTGATGTGTCATTTGTCTTCCTAGGCGCTATGTTCAAATGGCAAGTGGAGTACAGGTCCCTAACACAGCACAATCTCCTTAGTCCTGTATAGCTGCTTGTTTGAAAGATTTCCCATAGGGATTGCCCCAAAAGCGGGAATTAAATTTACTCTTTGTAACTTACACAGTTACACTTCTAGCTCCTAAAAGGAACAAGTTTTGTCAATGTAAAATGCTACACAAGGACTATTTTAGCCTTTTATGCTCCTGCTATTCCCAGCCCTTTTTGACCAATTTTGGCCACCCCTTCTGAACCATATACTTTATCTCTGCAGAAAGCTGACAGCACATTTGTTACTGCTCTGTTTTAAGGGGCTCTATTTACAAAAAATACAGATAGTGCCATGAATCGGGCACTCCTGTAGAACTGCTGTTTTTCTCAAGGGAAACAAAATGCTGTGTCTCGTATTGAAATACAGCCTAAAATTTTACCCCTTTGATTTTATGGTGTATAAAGTAAAGGATAGATGGCTCATCAACTAAGTTTGAGGATAGACAGACTTGCTTTTAAAGCATGTTTTAAATTGGGAAGACCAAAAATTAAAAATCAGGGTGAAATCTCATTTGAAATGTTAGACATTGAACAAAATTCTGGTGTATTAAGGTCTTGTGACTTCAGTAACTTGAGGGTTCAGGGAGATGAGAATGAGTAGATCATAGGTCAGGCTTTCTCAGCTTTGATATTGTGTCTGTATTACATTTACTCTGCAGTCCTGCCTGCTCTTTTCACCAAAGAACTGACAGATCAAGAAGCCACAGAAGGTAAAACTGTCTCTCTGCACTGTGAGCTGAATAAGGCGGCTGCTAATGTGGAGTGGAAGAAGGGACTCAAGACCCTCAAATCAAGTGACAAATACAAAATGAACCGTGAAGGTGTTGTTGCTGAGCTTATAATCAAAAATCTAGACACAACGGATGCTGGAAATTATTCCTGTGTGTGCGGAGACCAGCAGACTATGGCAGTTTTAACAGTACATGGTAAAACAAACAAAACAAGACACATCCTAAAATTAACTATCCTGTTTTCTCTGTTCATTTGGACAGATACCTGATTACACTACCATCTCCTTCCTTCTGTTAGACCCTCATCCACAGCTCACTGACGCCAATGAAGTGCTCACATTGGTGTCGGCGCAGCTGGGGTGCGTAACACGAGAGAGGCATCAGTGCTCAAGCTCAGAGTATAGGCAACCAGGGTTGCTATTAGGGTTGATCATTTTGATTTTCCCTTGGAAGTTCCTTTATTAGACTTCCCGTTATACTCAAGGCCTTTGAAATGGGTTGCCTCAAAAGGATTGGGACTTTAGGATTTTTAAGGTTTCATAAAATTCTAAAGGGTAGATTATTCCCTGGAATCTTATTCCCATACTCCTTTCCTGGAACAACGAGGTGTTTTTATACCTATGGGCTAGTTGCATTGCATTCAGTTGCAGTCCCGTGTAAAGCAAGCCCAAACCTTTTTAAGCGAAGACCATTCTTAGGGAGAACACTGATTTTTACCGCAACTGACATGTTTGAAAGTATATGCCAATTCAGGTGAAAATCCTTGTTTGTGTTGAAATGAACAATTTCATTTCAAACTGACATTTAGAATGAAACTCTTATGTTTCATTTTTTTTAATATACAATGTCTTTTTGTTTGCTTAAGCATGTGAAAACATAGCAAATGTCCTCCCATTCTGGTTTAAAAAATCATATAAGGAATCCATTTTATTTTTTTTTCCAGAAATTTCAAATTAGTATTTATTCTTTTTGCTTGAAATTTCACAGGAAAAAAAAAATGGGTTTCCTACTTCTGTTTGTATTGATTTGTGCCTCTGAGAACAAATGTAAAACACCTCTACAGATTACTGCAAGCATTGAATGCTTTCCTGGTTATGACATTTCTTTCTTCATACTGATTCATGGAGACTATACAGTGTCTATGTTCTTGTACTGTTAAATCAGTTCAAGAAAAGAGGGAAATTGAAAATTAAACATCAATGTTGAATTTTAACTCTTTCGAGCATTACATCTCACTGCTCGTATTGCTGTTCTTTAGCTTTGCCTGCATTTTTCAAAGAAGGATTGAAGAACAGAGAAGCCACAGATGGTGCAACAGCCACTCTGCACTGTGAGCTGAGCAAGGTCGGTGTCCCAGTGGAGTGGAAAAAAGGGGACAAAACACTCAAACAAAGTGATAAGTATAGGATGAGACAAGAAGATACTGCTGCAGAGCTGTTGATCCGAGATCTGGAGGTAGAAGATACAGGAGAATATACCTGCGTGTGTGGAGATCAGAAGACCTCAGCTGTCTTGACAGTCCATGGTAAAAAAGCCATTCTCGGTTATGATAGCAGTATCTCAAGCAGATCTCTTTTCTCTGAGAGGTTTCTTTTCCACTTGCTTTGATGTTTTAATTCTGCAGCATTTTCTTGGTTTGCTGGCTGTGTTTCATCCCATTTGTGTTAGTTTCATCCCATCTGTCAGTTTGAAATTGATGGCTTTATAGCAAAGTAAAGAAGAGTTGTGAGAATTTCTTATCTTAGTCTTCACTTTTTAAGAGTGAAAAAGGCATCTGTATCTAAGGCCAAGAGTGAGAACACTTCCAGCAGCAAGATTATACTCAGGGGTTTTTCCTTGTATCTCACTGGCATCAGCGGACTTTGGTCCTTAACTTGAAGGAAAGTTCTTTAAAAATGCTAAGCTCACTTAGTGAGAAGTTTTCCAATTCAGGAATGAATGACTTTTCTCTTTTGCAGGACTGTGATATACCCTGTCGAGGAAATGGTATTTGAAAAAAAAAAACCCAAACCCAAAACAATAAAAAACCCCAACAAAACAACATCCCAAACCATTATTCCTCAGGTCCTGATTTAGGGAGTAATGAGACAGGCTTTGTTCCAGTCTCTGCCACATTGAATAGCAGTGAGCTTTCACTGCACCTCCAGAAGAAACAGTTCCAGCAGATGAAAGGGTAGTTTTGATTTGAGATATGTCTTAAGGATATGATGCTTATAAGAACAGGGAAAACACTGTGGAAGCAAAACTATTCTCTCAGATTTTCTGCATGTTTTTATTTCCTCTTCTTTCTCCCAGCTGGAGATACTTCTGTTCTTCCCCTCCTTTGAGCTGGCTCTTTCTTCCCTGTGCGAGTTGCTCCCTCTTTATTTAACCACAAGGCATCTTGGTTAATGCTGCTGCTGCTAAAAAAAAAAAGTATCCTGTATTCCTGATATCAGAGCAATTACGTCCTTGGAAATTGTGGCTTAAAGGTGCACCTGAAGCTATATTACTAATTTTTTCTCTGAACCAGAAAGATAGATTATGATGTCAGGAAAGGTAGAGATCTCCAGGTAGAAATCTTGAGCTGCCAGTGCTGTTACTTGGGGCAATGACTTTCTATCAAAAGTCAGGTCATTAATGTTAAAGATAGATGATTTCAGACTAATATAGGTAGAGAGGGCTCTTGGAACCAGCTGGGAATTGATGAGCATGCTATATAAGTCAACATTAGAAGCAAGTCATGGTGGCAATTATTCCTACGAGATCCTACAGTAGTTTTCTGATAGATGCAGTTTTCAAGACTATATGATTTGTTTTCCTGTAATAGTGAAGGACTGGCCACAGGACCTAATGCTAAGTTCCTCAAGGTCTGGTTAATGGTTTTGACATCCTTTCTGTTTATATTGCATCCCATAGCTTTGCCTGCACTGTTCAAAAAAGAACTTGTCAATATAGAAGCCACAGAAAACAAGGCAGCTGTTCTACAGTGTGAGCTAACTAAATCCACTCCAGTGGAGTGGAGGAAAGGGCTGAAGGTCCTCAAGCCTAGTGAGAAGTACAAAATGAGACTGAAGGATACTATTGCTGAGCTGACAATCCATAGCCTGGAAGAACAAGATGCGGGAGATTACACATGTGTGTGCGGAGACAAGACGACCACTGCATCCCTGACAGTGCATGGTAAAATACATAAGTTTAATTTTCTTCTTCGTCATCTGTGGTCTCATGCAGGATCACAAACTGCTCTTGATCTTGTTTATTATTTTAAATTTTTATGAAAGCTGTATCAACCATTGGGAATATCTTTTTCTGAAAGTCCTTCACTTAGGATAGATAAATGTAGTCTTTTCAGTCCACTCTCTTTCCTGTAAATGGAATCTGGAAGCAGATAATGAAGAACTTGATGAATTCATAAATAACACTTATTTCCATTAATTAATTTATTTAGGTCATATCACTGAGATATAACTTTTTTCTTGAATGGAGTTGAAAGGTGCTCTGTGTTAACAGATGAGAAAGGCAGGTGAGCAAGATACGTTGCAGCCTGTAATTTGAAACATACCGTGTTCATTTTTATTGTTAAGGCAGAGCTGTGCATAGTTCCTTGAAAGCTTGGGATCATCTTTCTGTTGTTACATCTTAAAATTATTTTAAATCATACCTCTGGCATTGAAATTTTTAGTTTTACAGCATTGATTTCTAAATCAGTTGTGACATGCTGAATGTGGTGTGTTGCAAAGCATAAGGCAGGGATGCTCCTGTAATCATTGCTTGCCTCTCGGGTACTGTATATTCTAAAACTATTAGAGATTAAAGCTTTCTAATCCAGTGGAGCAGTCAAGACACAGTATTTCATTGCTTTTAAAGTGCTCTCTCTTCACCTGTGATCTTCAGCCCTTCCTCCACATTTTAAAAAAGAGTTGAAGAACATGGAAGCCACAGAAAATGGCACAGCCACTTTCTGCTGTGAACTGAGCAAGCCTGTAGCTGCTGTGGAGTGGAGGAAAGGAAACAGAGCCCTGGAGACAAGTGACAAGTTCACCATGAAATGCGAGGGCACAGTTGCTGAGCTGGTGATCTGTGATTTAGATCTGGCAGATGCTGGAGATTACACATGCTGTTATGGAGATCAGAAAACCTCTGCTGCACTAAAAGTGAATGGTAAAAAAATATATATGTAAAAATAAGTGGATCATTTTCAACCAGCTGTTTTTTTTTAAGAGCATAGTAGTATCAGCTTCGAAATTGCAGCCCCATTTCTGACTAATTTAGTAACTTGTGTTTGGACATGAGCATGAATGCCTGAATGCACTGGTCAGTATCAGACATAGCACAATTGTTAATTGCGAAAATTTCAGATATTCATCTTGGTATTAACTCATTTCTTTGATGCTCATGTTCAGTAGTAGTTGCTAAGAAAGGAAAATCATTGTTGTGCTGTTGGTTGTAAAGGTGTTACAATCCTAAAGTTGAGAATATTACAATTTGGTGATGAGATATTTTTGATACGGTTTTAGGGTTTCAGAATAATTTGATGGTCAAGTTCTGCTGGAACACTATCTGAGGAGAAATCTCCTGGAAAAGTGAGATCGATGCCTCAGATATAATTTCATTTATGAGCTTTCAGTAATGATCTGCATTGTGGTAGAACTTAGATGCTCTACCTTAGTTTATTACGTTTTATTTTCCATTGTGTAGACAATACCCAGAGTTAAGGTAGGGCTCAGTCTTGCAGAGTCTGAAGAAGTTGAGACTGGTGTGGCTCTCTATTTCATGCCACAGACCATACCATAAAAAAAAAAAAAAAAAGCTCTGGCTTATGAATAAGGTGGTTCCCAGCTTTCCAGAGTCATTGTTCTATGGTTCTCAGAGTGGTTATCACTCCATCTCGATTAGGGAAAGCTTTGCTTGTCACATGTGGTTGATAGACCACAGATAAATCATTACTTGAATAGCTGTCATGGTCATACATTCTGCTCATTTTGAACTCCTCAGCCTTGCCTGCACGCTTCAAGACAGAGATGAAGGATGAAGAAGCCACAGAAGGAGGAACAGCCACTCTACAATGTGAGCTATCTAGAACTGCCTCTGTGGAGTGGAAAAAGAAGCACAAAGTGCTCAAATCAAGTGAAAAGTATACTGTGAGACAGGAAGGTACTACAGCACAGCTGCTGATCCATGCTTTAGAAGTCAAGGATGCTGGGGAGTATACCTGTGTGTGTGGAGATGAGAAGACTACTGCAGCATTGACAGTGCATGGTAAAGAAAACAGATATGAGCAATTTTTGTGTGATAGTTCTCCTTTCTCCTCTGGAAGCCTCAATACTGACACACAATGAATTCTTTCTTTAATCTTGCCATCACTAATTCTGTTAGTAACAGATTTTGTTTGGTTTATTGTGATTTTTTTAAATCTGATTCTAATTAGAATTGTAGTTCCACTGATTATACTAACATTTTCCCTGTTTTCCTTGCTCTTGTTGGTGCACAGCTATACTGCTTTGCACCACACTGAAGGCTGAAGAATGCCACATGCTTGCGTTTTTGGTTCTGTTTTACTTACTTTTGACTTGAGCCTAGAGAGATGGAGCTGCAGGAACTCTCATACTTCTTAAAAAGAACAATCTTAGATTTCATGTTACATCAGGACTGACAGATACTTCTAAATAATGCAAACAAACCTTAAACCGATGCAACTTGTCTAAATAACTCTGAGCAAGGATCATCTCAATATGTATTTTGGTATCTCATGATACTCAGCGTTATAGTGTAAGAGTACTTCACAGTTCCCAGTCAAATTCTTCTGCAAACTTTCTTTGGAAGAGAGAAACTTTATTTCCACAACTACACAGGACAGTAAGAAGTAGTTTCAGCCATCTTTCTTTCTTATCTGGAAATTCAGTAGCTTAATAAATCAGTTCCATAGAATCACAGAATGGTTTGGGTTGGAAGGGATCTTAAAGCTCATCCAGTTCCAACCTCCTTGCCACAGACAGGGACACCTTCCACTAGACCTGGTTGCTCAAAGCCCCATCCAGACTGGGCTTGAACACTGCTAGGGGTGGGTCATCTACTCACCATTCCTTCCTTCCCACTTTAAAATTTCTTTGCTTTACTGCCCAGACCTTTTTGTCTTCACATTTACCAATAAAATAAGGGTACTTTCAGTCTTGAACTTCCAATTTAACCATAGCAAGAAAAAACTGGAAAGGACCTCTAGAGGTCATCTAGTCCATCCATGAGTCCCAGGTCACATTCACCCCTATCTAGCCTGCACTTAAAAACCTCTGGTGGTGAATAATCCACAGTTGACCTGGACACTCATTCCACTGCCTAGCTATAATTACTGGCAGAAAATTCGTCCTTATTTCAACAGAAGTCTCTCTTGAGCTTGCTTAAGTCATTAATTCTTGTCCCCTAGTAGAAATGGAGAAATACTTGCTTTTTTTCCTCTTTGTGAAACTATTTTACAGATCTGAAAACTTCCATCGTGTCTCCAACCTGTCTTCTCTTTTCTGGACTAAGCACCTTCAATCCTTCTACTCTTTCTTCATAGGTCATGTCTGCTAGACTTCAGCTCATCTTTGGTGCTTTCTGGATCATCTTCGATTAATCCACATCTTTGTAGAAATGTGGTGGCCAAAAGCAGACTACAGTGCTCCATCCAAGGCTTTGCCAGAGTGGAGTAGGATGGAAGGACTTCATGTGTCTTGCATGTGACACTTGATTTTATACATCCCTATTATGATGATGGCCTTGTTCACATCAGAGCTGCATTTTTTTGACTTGCATTTGCTCCATGATCTCTTGTAACTCCAAATCCCTCTCTGCAGATCTGCTGCCTGTTCTCCACCTTATATTTGTTTTTATTGTTCCTAAATAGAGTATTTTGCACCTGGTCTTGCTAAATTGCAGCCTTTTTTTCATTGCTGCTTCATCAAGGTTGTCTTATTATCCTAACCCAGTTTAAGAAAGTGCTTTCACCTTCTTTCCCTTCCCACCTTAAGATCATCTCCAAAGTTCATGACAGCTCTGCATGTAATTGTCCAAGTCAGTAAAGAAGATGCTGAATAACAGTGGACTCCAGAGCATTGAGGAACTCTGCTCAACTTGTTCTTTCATTGCAAGTTTAAATCACAGTTGAATATTATTTGATGGTAGTTTTCAAATTAATAGTGCTTCCTACTGCAATTCCACCTATACCTAATTTCAACTAAGAGCTTTACTAAAATAAAAGTGTACAGCATATACTGTATCTTTCTGTCAGTGAAGCTTATTTATCTATGTCAAGAAAAATTGTACTGGTCCACTCCTTCATGAAGAGAAAAGCTCTTGGCAAGTTCAAGTGTACTGCTACAATGTTTTTCAAAGAATTAAGGTAAGCTGAAATGGCCATAATTCCTTGGATCCTCCCTCTGCCACCCACCTCAGTCTTCGTCCAAGGCAAGTACTGTGAATGGGATTCAGCTTGTAGGTCAAGACTGGTGAGTACTCCTAAATTTACATTTTTGTCGATGGAGATCTAGTCAACACAGCTGATGGAAGTCAGGGAGACATCCGATTCCCCTTATAGCAGATGTTTACATTTGGTCAGCAGGTAGTTCTATTGGCTCTATTGACTTTGCCTGGATCTTTCTTGATTGTCTGGGAGCTCAGACTCTTGGTTTACATGTTAAGAACTAAAGGTGTCTATTTCAATCTGTGATTCCTTTTTCACCACTGAGTTGCTGTTTTTTCTGTACTTGTGAAGCATCACTCATTCTATTCGATTTCTCCAGTGTAATGTCTGATATTGGTTGAGCTTATAGCTTAAGTATTCCAGGACAAATTTCATCATACCAGGGTGCTTTGAGAATATTTAGTTTATTTAAATATTCTCTAATCCTTTTTTTTTCTTTTCTCAACCAGAATTCCTATTACCTTCTTAGCTATCATTAACCTTTTATATTAAAGAAGGAAAAGGAAGTAAACACTTCAGCTTTCCCTGTGTCATCCACCATCAATTTACATTCCTGAAAAAGAGGTAGACCAAATTCTCCCTTGTCGTTTTTCTTCCTTCTAATCTACTTACAGGATGTCATAGTATTATTTCTGTTTCTTTCTAGTTCAGGCTGGCCAGATTTCCTGGAATTTACAGCTAATATTCTGATATAGCCAAGAGCCACAAGTTGAACTGTGAGCTGAGGACACGGAAAACTCCTGAAGCAGTGGTCTTGCCACCTAGTTGCTGGATACAACTACATACAGCACACATCTCTGTCTGGAGACATTTGATATTGGCATAATTTTGCAATTACCTTTCAGCCCCTCTTTCATGTTAAAGTCTTTGTCCATGAGATGAGAGAGTCCAGGAATGGGGAACTGCCCTTGACCTTGAGACATGCAGGGAATCCTGCCTTTCTGGTTTTCCTTCTATGTTCTACACTAGTTTTTTCCCCCTATTCACATTAACCTCCTGTATTTTATAGGTCTTTTGAGCTTCGGGACATTAAAGAATTTGTG